AAAAACCTCACGACCTAATATAAAACCAGTGTGAAAGCACATATTTAGCATAATTCCATTGACCATTAAAAGAAATATATATAGGTTGCCATATTTCTTTCTTGATCAAGAGAAATTTGGGTTAAAATACTTTTTAAAATATTCTAAATCTGTTTCCTCTATTTTTGGAAATATTTGGATGATCCAATGATGACTAAAAATTCATCTAAAAATTAAGACAGCTAAGAGAACTTAGCAATTATGCCAACAGTCTCCTTGCAGATATTCAATTATATCCTATTGGTATATGCTATTGTGATAACTACCAGCTATAATTTATCAAGCTCCTCTTATGCACCAGGTTTACATAAACTTCACACATATGCATTAAATAATTTTACATGTACACCTTCTCAGAGTCCCAGCGGATGGGCAGTAGAGTATAATGGTTATAAACTCAGGCTTTCACAGTCAGTAATGCTGAGCAGCTATGTGACCTTGGGCAAGTGGCTTTATTTCTTTTTGATTGGGTATGCCCTCTGTAAAATAAGGATCTATATTGACATCTACTTCACATAATTGCTGTGAGGATCAAATGACTTAATGACTTTACACACACACACACACACACACACACACACACACTACAGAAAACACTGCCTGGTCAACAGTAAATGATGAATAAACCCTAGCCACTCTTATTATTTTTCCCATTTTACCCATAAGGAAATGGAGAACCAGACTGAAACACAAAAAGATGCGTAATCAGACAGTTCTACCTGAGTCTACGACCTACATTCCCCTTTTTTGTATATGTGTGTGTGTGCTCGGCTGCCCCACGAAAGGTAAGTAGAAAACTCCTACAAAAAAATTTAAGGTCAGAATTAAAAAGCAAACAATAAAAATCAGTCTAGGTTAAAAATAAGCCAAATCCTATGAAGATATTACATTGATCTTTAAAACATCACTTAAACTATTATAATGACTGGTAAACTCATTTAAATTTTAAATGAATTTCATATTCAAGTGTTCAGGATGCCACTGGTTTTATTAACCTACTTATTATTTCATATATTAGAAATATTTATTAATTTTATAATACTATATTATTCAAATATAGATATTGAAAAAAGTGTAATTCTAATTGCAAAATTCAATGATGGCTACTGCTTTTGCAGAAAGTATCATTAATATGTTTGGCATTGCACTATTAACTTTTCCCAGTTTATAGTATGTCTTTTTCCTTCTGCAAGTATGAAACATTTTATATATTCTTTATGTTAGACTAGAAATGTTTATAATAAACATATGTAAGTCTATAAAAGGCTGACTACAAACTTCATAAACAACATATTTCTGTGTAGCCTCAGCAACAATCCATCTTGCCAAGGACCTACCTCTTTTTCATTGGCCCTCACTTTACGAAGCATGATGTCCCTTTTCAGGGACTGGACTTGCCTGATAATGTGTCCAAAGTATGTAGACTAAATCTTGCCATCTTCTATTTGAAGGAGCACTCTGGCTCTACTTCTTCCAAGACAAATCTGTTGGGTCTTTGGCAGTCCATGAGACTTTCAATATCCTTTGCCAGCACCACAATTCCAATGCACCAATTCTTTTATGCTTCTCCTTATTTAATATCCAACTTTTACTTCCATATGAGGCCATTGAAAATAGGATGTCTTGAGCCAGGTGTACCTTAGCAAGGTAACATCCTTGTTCCTCAATGCCGTAAGGAGGTCTTCTGGAGTAAATATGCCCAATGGCACGTGTCCTTTGATCTCTTGACTGCTGCTTGAGCACTGATTGGGAATACACGAAGAAACTCAAGCCAACTTCAGTCTTTTCTCTACTGGTCATGAGATCACCTACTGCTCCAGTTGTAATGATTTTGGTGTGCTTTCCCTTGAGTTGTAAGCCATACTAAAAGCTGCAATCCTGGATCTTCATCGCCAAGTGCTTTAAGTCCTCCTCGAGTTCAGCAAGCAAGGTTGTGACATCTGCATATTGCAGGTTCATAAGCCCTCCTATATTCCTAATGCGAAATTCCTCATATAATCCAAAGTCTCTGATAATGTACTTCGCATATGGTTGAGTCATTATGGTGAGAGGACACAACCTTTGTGCAAACCTTTCTTGCTGTCAAACCATGCACTTTCCCCTTGTTCTGTAAATGTAACTGTCTCTTGACCCATGTACAGATTCCACATGAGCACACCTAAGGCTATCCATAGTCTTATGGTGCACGTACATTAGTTAAATAATTTTCACGTTCATTGGCCATTTGTATTTATTTTTTGCTCTTGGCCACCTTTTCAATACTATGCATTCCAAATTTGTACTGATTTGGAGGAAGGAGTGGATATTACAGAAAGGGCCTTTTGTGTGTGGTTGTCATTTCTGTTATGTAGTACTATACTTTTCAGATGTTGCAAGTACATTTAAAATAAATTAATAATTTTAGGAGCAGAAATGAACTTCATGTAGATTAGTGGTTCTCAACCTGTGGACCGCGACCCCTTTGGGGGTGGAACAACCCTTCACAGGGGTGGCCCGATTCATAACAGTAGCAAAATGACAGTGATGATGTAACAGCAAAAATAATGTTATGGTTGGGGGCCCGCACAACCTGAGGCACTGTATGAAAGGGTCTCAGTATTGGGAAGCTTGAGAACCACTGATGTAGATATATCTATTTCTCACATTTAAAAAAATTAAAATGGTTTTAAAATGTATTAATAGGTCTTTCCTATTGCTGTGAATGTATTGATTAACTAGATAGATATTCCGAAACATTTTTAAAATGCCCTGCAGCCAGAAACAACAGGGACACAACTGTACACAAGACAAAAGATTCCCCATATACATGGATCTTTATAGACTTGTAAGGGAGGTATATGGATACTAACCAGAGCCAGACAAAAGGAGAAGGTAAAATTGTTAAACGTGTTGCAGTAATTTATTGAGATAAGGAAGCTCTCACACTATACCTTAAGATGTCAACTCTGTGATAACAATTTGCTTTCCCCAAGTTTTGCTAAAGCCTAAGGAAGGGGACATTGTATCTCTAGTCAATAAAAGAAAAAAAGAGCATTTTTCTCCATTTTTAATTCAGTATGTTGTTCGATGTGTAGTGTACAGATTGCTAAAGTCAGGTTCTAGTGCATTCCTGCACTTCTTGATGAAGTAATGGTATTAAACTTTGCTCTACAAATGTTGCATCACTCTTAGCAGACCAGAGGCTGAGATGTAAGATTGCCTTCTCCAGTCTTATCCATTTAGTTCCCAGGTGACTTTTTCCCCTTGTGTGTTATAAGTCAGTGATTGATTTTTGCTTCCCTTATGTATGTTTTCAGAAATGATGTGACAACTCTCTTCAAATACTGTTTGGGATAATGTAGGTTGTTCCCTATTGCTGAAAAAGAAATATTTTCCCAATCATTTCTGTGTGGATCTGAAAGTGTGGCTGGAAAAATTATGAAGATTAAATGTAATTAAATAATTGAAGTCATATCCAGGAAGTCTGAATAATAGCTTTGTAAAATTGCCTTTTTAATCCAGTTATTTAGCACAACTTACATATCAATTTAATGTTTGGGAGATTAAAAATTATATTTGTATTACATTTTGGGGTTGTATGAAAAAATAAAAGGCACCAAATTAAACCTGAATTTCAGAGAAACTTAAAAAAAAGCCTAAGTGTCTCCCAAAGAAGCCCTTTGGTGCAATGGTTAAAATGCTTTGCTGCTAACTCAGAAGTCACTGGAGGGAACCCACCAGCCACGCCTCTGGAGGATGTACCTGGGTCAGCTCCGGGAAAGACTGCAGCCTAGGAATCTTGGCGGACAGTTGTCCTATGTGGTCACACTGAGAATGGACTATAGAGAACAAAACAGCAACCATATGCCCCAAGTAATGCATAGGATAGATTTCAACTAAACAATTACTATTAATCAGAAGTTAACATTTAACATATTCTATTTGCTAAATCTAACTACCCTGAAATTAACCTTTTTTAAAAAAAAATCATTTTACTGAGGGCTCTTACAACTCTTATAAAAATCCATACTAAAATTAACCTTAACTCCTAAAATGTACTTATTCATGATTTTTAATATTGGCATAGTTTTTAAGAGGAATGCGACAAATGGTCCTTTGGCCATGATTACGCATAGACAGTGTCATCTGCGATGTGTGTGTGTGTGTGTGTGTGTGTGTGTGTGTGTGTGTGTGTAGGTTCATAGAAAGAGGCAGGAACGGCAGCAATAAGGGAGTTTGTGCTCCTACCTGCTCCCCACATTTCGGTGCACTGTCCCTGTAGGGTGGGGCACATTCCCATCAAGCAATAGCCTTGCCCATTTTGGCAAGGGAAGCCATTGACTCGGAACCTGTCATCAGCACACTGGCCAGATTTACCATCACACATTTCCGGCAGGTCACACTCATCTTTTGCTGGTCTGCAGACAGTTCCAGCTGTTTTAAACTGTAGGAAACAACAAAATGATGAGAAGGCAGTTTTCCACCTGGTTAACCATAATATCTCAATTTCACACAAATCATAATTTTCAGTTGTTCTCCCCGCTGTTAATTTAGGGGTGAACTTGGAGACACTACTCAGCTTATCTTTGCATTGTACATAAGTGAAAGCCATTCTTCTTTAAGTCACCTCTATTAACTTTGGCCAAGGTCCCTGAGTGCATAAGCAACAAGCTCACAGCCACTGATGGACGGGCTTGAGATTTGAACCTACTCAGAGACACCATGGAGGGAAGACCTGGTGATTAAAGATGACAGCTAATAAAACCCTGTGGTGCTCAGTTCTACTTATAACACGTGGGTTCACCGGGACTCAGAATCAACTCCAGGAAAATCTACTCCAGGACTTGGTTTGTTTTGGGTTATTGACTTTGGACAATGCCTTAAGTCGTAAAGCAATCAGTGTTTCTGAATGTGTCGTACAAACACTATGGACACACTAGAAAAATGCAGAATAAAACCAGAGGAAGCTCTTTCTCTCATAGTTACACGCTTCTTGGCCAAGATTTACAAGAAGGCTGACATCTGCAGCTTCTGAGATTTTCGCGGCTGGAGTGAATCTTCAGTTAAGTAAGATCAGCTTGAGAGCCCCATCGGCGTGCTCTGAGCCTTTCCCAGGCACCCAGTTCCCCAGTCCTTAGTTCCCTTTATTGTATTTTCAAGCATTTCTTTGCAGTCCACATCTTCCTGTTAAGTGATTTATCATGGGGGGGGGGGAT